GCAGGCACCGGCGCGCCCAGGGTCCTTTGGAGCGATCGACGTGTTACGCGACACTCCCGCCGCAAAGGACCCCCTATGGGCTTCAGTCTCAGACCCCGTGCCTGAAGACCTTGCGCTCGGCATTTTACGAGAGCCCGTTAAGCCAAAAGAATATTATATTTTTGATAATAATGTGGTCTTGCGGCTAAAGTCTTAGTTGGTGATCCGAACTTCCTAACCCTACCATGTTAGTGAGTAAATAAATGACAACTAATATCTTAGCGGTTATCTGAACTACTAAAGCATCAATAAAACATCAATGGATAAAATGGATTAGTAAAACACCAATAACCACAACAAAGTAACAATGGGTTAGTAACAACATCAAAACCAAACTGAATTACTGAACTACTAATATCATAAATCACTCGACGTAAAGCACCAACGGAACCACACGACGAACCAAACGCACGCACGAACCTGAACTAAACGAAACTTAAACATGGAACAAAAGGAAAACAAAAAGGAAACTCAGGGGTTTGAATCCTGAGGAGTCGTAATTGATCGTCGTAAGGCATCGTCATTAGAACCCGGTGGAGACTCGTACGCGAGACCTGAACTAAGAAACATTAACAACAAAACAAAACAAAAACAAGAAAGTAAACTCAGGAGTTTTGGTCCCGAGATGAACTGAGTCGTAAAGCATCGACGGAAAGAGTACGACTTAGAGGCTCGTCCACCATAACGCCATAGAGTACCTGAACAATCGATATTAACATACCATCAAGCAACACTGCTTACCCTATGACTTCTCTCTTCGATATCCTCGTCGTAGACGTTGATCCCGTCGACCAAATGCAGACGACGCGTGGACTATTGAACTAGGACAGAAGAGGGTCGTAGTGAACTAGTAACTTATAGCTTGTTAGATTTTGTTGAACTATGAGACTTGAATAAGGAACTGTACTAATGAACTAGCCTATCCCTGCCTCACCAGGAGTCGTCACTGTTGGCTGGTGAGAACCCCATTTGACGAGCTAGGCCGGAGGAGGAAGGTTCCGGAGAACGCTCCCGCTCCGGGGGTGGCTGGTTAGAGGGCCCGGGGCGGTCGGCACCAGCGTCCCTCTCTCGTTCGCGATAAGGACGTTCGTACCGACGACGAGGAATTGCACCGCGGGGAGGGGGGCGGTAGGTTTGGACCCTGAGTTGGTCATAGAAGCCCTCAGGGGCCACGTTGAGGTCAAATATGGCGAAAGGATTTTGAACACAAAATGCCCGATGATGCCCCTCCTCGTAGCATACGCTACAAGGGTCCTTACGGATACATATGCCGTAGTGCAATTTTAGGCAGTTACAGCAAAGACCATCCCGGGAGGCCAACTCAGCCCTGTCACTGAGGTAAGGATAGACGTCGCAGTCTGAACTATAGTGACCTTCCTTGCGACAGAAGACGCAGGGTTCCACTCTCCCGTGCGCCTCAGAAGGTACTGATCGCCTCGGAAATCCGGGTCTCGAGCGAGATCTGGCATCGACCCGTTCTGGGGGTCTTCTAGATGGACTACGGCTTCGTGGTCTATGCTCTGGACTAGGTCGCGATCTCACTTTCGGAGGTTCTACGTCGCGGCTTGGACTATCTCTTCCGTGTCTCCTTTTGCCCAATCCTGCGGGCTCGTAGCTGGATCTCGCAGTGGAGGTGGACTGTCGTCCAGCCTGGGGGGGCACAGGAGCTTGGAGCTTGGAATATGGGTGTTTCCTCTGGCCATGTAGTAGGTGGTGGCAGTTTCGGAACCTCGATGGATCTCAGAGGTCGCTGCGTTGTCCGCTGAACTACTGGGCGCCCTTGATCGCGGGCCTGTTCCTGGAGACGTCTGTCCACCGTAGATGTCTGCAGGTACTGGTCCGTGGCTCTTATCATCAAGGCGTCTGAATAATTATCGCGCCACCATCGCAGGGTCTGGATATAAGACTCCGGTTCTTCGGGCCATGGAGGCGGCATGTGAACTTGTGAACTAAGACGATAATCTTCATCTTCCTGGGTGACTCGCACTCTTCTTCGGTTCATGAAGTGAACCATCTGGTGCGCTTCTAGGACACGTATCATGCGAGTTGAATGGGCCATGACTGCTGAACTATGCTGGAGAATCTCCGTGAAGGTTTCTTCCGTGATTCCGAATAGCTGCAAAGTGGCTCTGAAGTAATCCTGTTCCTGAGACCATTGGAATAGTCTCGGCAACATCAATTCTTGAAGTAGGTCCCGATTGACCGTGATGGCTGTATTACTGTGGGTTAACTGGTGAATCCAACCCATAAGGTGGGTGTACCTTATATCTAGGGGTTGTCTTCTCACTAGGATTACTGCCAAGTTATGGAATGATTGAGTGGTGTGCTCAACCAGCTCCAATAACGTCTGGAGAATATGAACTATTCTGGCAACCGCTTCAAAGTCCGAGGGTCGTGCTGGAGTAGTTTCCTTGTCCGGTATCTTAATTGCTCGGACGCGGTCTCTCAAAATATTATTTGTAGTAATGTAATCGAACACCGTTCGAAATTGGTGTGCGGTTAGCTCCTCCACGGTATAAGGCTCAACTTTGACTGTACTAAAGGGAGTTACATCCGGGGCCTTCGACAGTGTTGTGGGTGCTGGGTTGACTCTCAAGGGGCCGCCTGGCTGAGTTGCGAAGGGTCTCCTGCTTGAGTATTCCTCTAGGAAGTGAACTACAGCTTTCATTCTGTCTTCTTTCCTCTTCTTCGCCTCTTCTTTTTCTTCTTTCTTCTTCATCATACTGATTCCCATGGCGACTGCCTGCTCCCATGTGATGTCGAGGTCGCCTGGATTGATCTTCGCTGGCCTCCAATCGCTCGGGTTAACGTCGTGCGCCATACTTTTCTCCTGAACTACAACTACATCCGAGGTGTCCATTTCTTCTTCGTCCGGCTTCTTCTTCTCGACGCTTAAATTCGCGATTGCCGACGAAATCTCCGCTTCCAACTTCTTTCCTTCCTTATCCTTCTTCGTTTTGTCATCCGTGCGCTGCAAGGGCGGTGGAGTGTTTTCCGCTTGGACTTGCTGGGCCCATGAACTAGTTATCTGGGGCTCCACGAATGGCGATGATGTACCCTGCTGTGAACGGGATTGTGAGGCCTGGGATTGGGGTTGTGAACTAGCTGAACTAACTGGCTGAGGCGGAGGTACCGGTTGGGGCGACGGAGAGGTGGCTTGTCTTGTATTAGAACTACTATAAGGGAACCTACCTCTGGCTGATCCTCTACGACTCCAACCGCGGGGGACGCTAGGCGCATCCTTCTTCATACCTCTACCTGGCGTAGACATAGTTTCGATAGCACTTCAGAACACTCGAGAGCAAACCAAGTTCTAAAAGGAATTAACTCAATTATGGGTCGTGGAGGTTAATTGCCCAATTAACGCGGGTGTTAGTTTGCAAAAATGTAGAGAATAGTGTTAGTTTGCAGAAAATGAGAGTATTGTTAGTGAACATAGAGAGTAAACGTGATAAAGTGATGTTAGTTCAACGGAACTGAGAGGTGTTAGTGTGGTAAAACCGAAAAGGGCTGAAAAAAGGAAAATGTGTTAGTAAGAATTTAGTTAGTGAGGAGAAAAACGAATTTGAAAAGGAAAGATGACTGATAAATATACTTGCATGAACTATGACTACGAAATTGGAAAACTGTGATTTGAATTATAAGAGGAAGAACTGGTATGAAATGAGGATAACTTTCCTATAATCAATAGATTGCCTATTTCGAACTGAATGAACTACTGGAGAAAGAGTAATTGAATGAGATCGAGAAATGATGAAAGGATGAGGAAGTAGTGAAAGACTGAAGTAGTTCATGAAAGGAAATTGAAAGAGATGACTCAAATCACAGATACACTAGATGAATTATAGGACTAGAGTGGATAAGAATTACAAAGGACTAGATGAAATAATCGATAAAGAGCGTTAGTCAACATTAGTGTTAAGGTTAGTGCGAAATCATAAAATACGATTTTGTCTAAGCTTCCTAGTTTTCTAACGAGCGAGAGGTAATGGACTAAAGAATTGTTATGAGAGTGAAGAAATGAACTAGTGTGAGGAAAGGAATCAATGTAGAGAGAAGAAAAAGTTAGTTTCGAAAGGCGCCTCCATTTTTGACTATGTACGACAATACTCTGCGAGGCGACTTGAATCTTGGAATAAATGAGTCACGACCAATCAAATAGTTTCCTGACGAATGAAAAAGGTGAGAGGAAGCGAGCATCAATGAAAAACATCGACCGAATCGAAGAAAACCCAAAACGGATGACGATAGCCACTCACGGCGTCGACAGTGTGCGTAAATGAGATTTTCGGATTTCGTCATGCCTACGCCTGCGTAGTGCGTTACGGTAATCCGTGTAGGGATCTTCTGCGATTGATCTACTGCATCCTTTAATCTGCTCACATCCGCTCTCCTCAACTCATTGAACTAGTCGTTTTCTTCATTATTGATTTTTTGAACTAGTTCATTGATTACTGAACTATCGATCTTTTTCCCGTTGAGTAGGGTCTGAGGACTTCTAGGAAGTGTTCCCTTAGTCGTGTACTCGTTAGTGTTGGGGTTAATCGTAGTTAGCTCAGGTAAGTATGGATTAGTTCAGGTAAGTGTGGGTTAATCTTAAAGCGAGTACGTTGAACTAGAATGAATTACGTACCTCGTCTTTTCGCTCTTCTATCTGGTTGAATGCGGGTCGGTTGATTTTGTTTCTTTGATTGTAGTACACTTCGTTCTTCCGACGCGCAAACTTCCAGAGGAATAAGTTGATTGATGGATCGATCCAAGAACTTATTGTTGCCAGTTTTTATTCTGACTGAACGAATTGATCCATCTACTGAGTCGTTAATTTGTACTATAAGACCTAGGGGCCATTGTGACCTTGAAATATTTTCTGTTTTCACGAGTACTACATCGCCGATTTTTGGAGTATCTTTTGCACCTTTCTTTAATGGTGTTCGTTTTTGATTGCGTTCGGCAAGGGTTTGTAGATATTCTTTTTGCCACTGATTCCAAAATGTGTTAAGCGTGTCTTGGAGTAACACATATGAGTTATTGATGTCCTCGTGGGATTCTAAGGTCCTTAATTGGTTGCTTGAGTTGAATGACCCTTTAGCTTGAGGTGTGAAGTAAGGATTAATGAGGTCAATAGGTCGTAGTACAAATGAGTTTTCTGATGAGTTTGTGATAACTGGAGTGATGGGGCGAGTGTTCAGTGTAGCTTCGATTTCCGAAATAACTGTTTGTAGACTCCATATGTCCAGGGTTCTTCTGTGGATGGCTTTCTTGAGTGCCGATTTTACTGAGCCCACAAGTCTCTCGTAGAAGCCACCTTTCCATGGGGAAAGGGGTGTAATAAACTTCCATTCGAGGCTCTGTGAACTAGTGAAGCATTGGACTATGGGGTCTTCTTTTACCGAATGTAATTCATTCACCAAAATTTCCCTTCCTAGCTTGAAGGTGGGCGCGTTATCGCTCAGGACCAAAGTCGGAGCTCCTCTACGTGCCATGAACCTTCTAAAGGCTAGGAGGAATTGTGGTGCTGAATTATCGGCTACCACCTCCAAGTGCAAGGCTCGTGTCGCCATGCACGTGAAGAGACACACCCATATTTTCTTGTCCTCTCCGACTTCTTGGCGGATTGTAATAGGTCCGAAATAATCTAGGCCTGTGTTTTGAAAGGCCTGCTCCGTACTACTCTCTGGCTGGGTAAGTCAGGAATTCGAGGATACGAGAAGGATCTTCCCTGATGTTTTTTGCAGACTACACATCTCCCAATGATGGCGTTGACCAATCTTCGTATCCTTGGGATGAGGTAGTGACTTCTCAGCTCGGATATCAGGTGTGAAGCTCCGGCGTGGAATAGCTTTTCATGGAGGTCTGTGACGATCAACTTGGTGAGATGATGTTTTGGTAGCAGTAGAATTGGGTTCTTTGCCGAATCCGTTATCTCTGCGTTGGCCATTCGCAGATCTCCACGGTAAGTTCCGTCTTCGCACAGTGATATCCGGAGGCGTTGAACTATGCGACTCTGCAACTCGGAGGCTCCTTCGCGATAGTGTTCGCGGAGGAGGAGGACTTCCGCTGCTTTAATGTCGCTTGTCGTGAGAGTGAGCTCTTCTGACATCAGGTTGATGATCCGGATTCTGGTGTCCTCGCCCTGGTTGGTTTTCCTGCTTTTCCGCCAGAGGTTAGCCACATACTTGAGGACGTAAGAGGTTACTCGGACTAATTTCTTGTATGAGTTAGTCCTGGTAAATGGGATAAATGACTTGTAAATTTCCAAAGAAGTGGTTATTGTGGACTTGAATTCTTCTTGAGCTTCCTTTGGTGGAGTAGCCTTTGCACTAAAGTCCATACTCGTGTTAGGCCATTTTTTGGGTGAATCGAGTATGAACTGCGGGCCATGCCACCACATGTGATCCTTCAGTTCAGAGGCTGATAATCCTCTGGTCGCGCAATCTGCTGGATTGCTATCTGTATTAACGTAGTGAAATTTATAGGGTATTTTTGCATCTGTGAGTTCTTTTGTTACCTCTTTGATGTATTTTACCCTGTTGCTGACGAAAGTTTTGAGCTGTTTATTGGAGTGTATCCAATAAAGAGCTATCTGTGAATCTGATAGGATTTGCACTGAATTAAGTGGGATGTTTAGTTGTTTTCGAAGGAAGCGAACCAATTTCGCTGCCAGCACGGAGCCTACCAGTTCCAACCTTGGGATAGACGTTTTCTTCATTTCTGCCAGCTTTGCTTTGGCGAAGATTAGGTTGCTGAAGGGTTGTCCTTTCTGTGGTCTGCATACTAGGTATGCAACCGCTGCGTACACCCTTTGTGAAGCATCCGAGAAGACGACCAGGTCGTACTTGGTTTCTCCTGTGGTGGCGATGAACCTTGGTACGTTTCCTGCGAAACCCTTGATATCTTCTGTAATACATCTCCACTTTTCTGAGGTACTTTCGTCGAAGGGGGTGTCCCATGAATACTTGTTGATCCATAGGTCTTGTATGAACATCTTGGCCTTGATGAATAGAGGTGTTAGGAGACCTAGCGGGTCGAATGTAGATGCAAATACTTTCAGTGCACTACGTTTTGTATTGACTGCTTTATTTATGGTCTTGATGGGTATCGAGATCAGATCCTGCTGAGTATTCCATCGCAGTCCCAAAAGTTTCACTGTACTACCCGTTTGTTTCATCCTGTCTTCAATTGGAGTAGCTTCCAGTATGCTGTTATTGTTGGACATGAATTCGCGAAGGTTCATGCCCATCTTGGAGAAGGTGTCCTTGCATCGTATTCGTTTTCGAAGACCTTCGTCGACTGTCTTGGCGCCTATTATGACATTGTCGACATATGGTATTAGCAAGGATTTCCTCCTGGAGCTGGTTGCTACCCTCCTTTTCCAGTGCATACTTTATGGACATGCTTAGCAGGAATGGCGATGCATTGACGCCGAATGGAATACGTGTGAATCGAAGTATACGTATATTGCCTTTTGTGGGGTACTTTGAAGTATCCTTCAACCAGAGGAAACGTGTTGCGTCTCTCTGGTCCTCTTGTAACCTGATCTGATGAAATGCCTTCTCCACGTCTGCTATTATGAGTATTGGCGTTAGACGTGCCCGTAGTAGTGTACCACAAAGATCCGGCAGTAGTGCTGGGCCTTGGTGCACACAGTCGTTTAGGCTGGGTACACCTTTCATATGGCTGGACGCGTCGAACACAATACGTAGTTTTGTAGTAGCACTGTCTTCCTTGAATACCGCCTGATGTGGAATGTAGTACACCCATTTTCCGTGAGCTGCTTGCTCATCGACTTCTTCTATTATTCCTGACTGTAGCTGCTGATCGAAGGTCTTGCAGTATTCCTTCCATACTTTTGTATTAAGGTGGAGTTTGTTGTATTGATTCTTGTAATCTCCTGACTGCAAGAGCTTTGTTGTCAGCAAGAGGTGGGTGATTCGCTTTCCACGGGAATTGAACATGTATGAGGCCGTCCTTGATTCGTACTGTGTTGTAGTAGTGTTTTATTATACTCTCGTTCGACTCGTCTACTTCATCTTTGGTTTCGAGAGACTCTAGACCGAACAGGTGTTGGACTATGCGATCCGTTTCGCGTGTCTGATCTTCTTGCTGAAGGTCGGTCTCTGAGGCGGTGTGTACTGCAGATGAAGTAGAAGACTGGCATCCCGACAAAACTGGTCCAAGTGTAGTTTCCGACTCAACTAGGCCTGAAGGGAGCTGACGGCTGGAGCTGAAATCTACTACGTCCCAGTAGTAGTCCATTCCGATAAGAATATCGACTTCCTTCTCCTTGGTCTTGCTCCTTTTATGGTGTTTGCCGAGGTTGTCGTCGGTGTTACTTACTTCGACGGAGGTGATGACCTTGCGTGTCCATAAGTAAAGTTTTGTTGGGAGACCACTCTTCTGGTTCTGGAGTTCAATTTTCACACGATACGATCTTTCTGTATGTAAATGGCCTCCGAACGTTAGGGCTGTAATATTCTGCGGATTCTTGAGTTTAAGTCCTAAGTTGCGTGCAGTATCCTTTCTAATGTAGCTGTGTTGTGAGCCACTATCCAGGAGTACTGTAATAAGTTGTTTTGACTTAGTGGTTTTATTAATAGTCAGTGCTTGAACTACCATTAATCGTGGTGGGTTAAGCATTTTGATAACTTTATCCCCACTAGGCTTGTGTTTCTTACTTAGTGCATGAGAAGTAATGAATTTTGAACTTACTGTGTTAACTCGAAAGGTTTCTTCCTCAGAATCATCTGAGTAAGAATCTAGTTCGGAATAAGCCGTATGTTTCGTTTCGCTGTGATCCGAGGTTGGAGTAGGAGATGAGTTGGAGTAAGCATAGGTTCTCGGCGATTTTCTGAATCCGACTTTTGGGTGAGGAGATCCTTTGCGGTAAGTCCTTGTTCTTCTTGTGGGTGATCTTCCTCTGTTGTCTGGACTCGGAGAACGAGACTTCGATCTTGAACTGTCTCTTCTGCTTACTTCTGAGGAGTAACTATCTGCCGAACTATTCCTTCTTAGATATCTGTTCCTTGGGCTGCTCGATCTTCTTGGACTGAATGAGGATCTGCGTTGAAGGCAGAGGGATTTGTGATGATTCCGGCCACATTTGTAGCATACGGGTGCGTCGCAATCCAAGCTCTTGTGTCCTTGTTTCAGACATTTCCAACACAGTCGATGGTGTACTACCGCTTCTCTTCTTTCATATGGAGACGTCACTTCGTCGCAATCCGCAGTCCTGTGCTTGGCTTGCAAGCAGAAGCTGCATCGTGCATCCTTCGAATTAAGTGACTTGTCCTTGCCCTTCATGGTTCTTCTCGGTAAGTGTCCTGTGCTGGATTCAATGCTGCTACCTCTTCGAGCTTTTCCCGGTGCTGACTTTTTAGGGCGTATTGGACTGCGCGAATTATTAACCGTATGTGACCTTGATTTCGTTGTTGGGGTTGGATTAGTGTCTTCGATGATTTCCAACTGGTCGATGACTTCATCGAATGCATCAATCAAGTCCTCAGTCGTCCAGTTGTCGCCTTTCCTTCGTTTCTCCCCAACCTTTTCCCTTGTCTTCTTGGGAAATTTCGAGCGAACTGTCCTCATCGTCATCGTCGAACCCGGTTGTTCGGCGAGATTGGCCAGTTGAACCCATATGGCCTTGATTTTGCACAGTGTAATACGTTGTTCTGTGACGGCTTTTCCTGAGGGAGGCAATGCCTCCAGTTGTTCTACGAGCCTGTTACGCAGAACGTCCGGCCTATTGTATGTATTAAGGAGTAGTTCAATGGCTTTCGGGTAGTTCTCCGCCGATAGCGTCATTGAGGCCATGAGATCTTTGGCTGTGCCCTTCAAGACGCTCTTCAAATGGAGGAATTTTGCTGGTGCTCCGAGGGTTGGATTTTCGTGAACTGCCAGCTTATAGAGTTCCCAGAACTCGGGGAATTCGACCATATCTCCTTGGAAGTGGGGTATCTCCAGTCTCGGTAGTTGAACCTCGAATTCTGCACTAGCTTTGGACTGAGCTCTGGTCGGTTTGGTGTCGTTGGATAAGCTCTCTTCCACGACCTGCTTCAGATATTCCGTTGATTGCGTGAGTAGCTGTGCGTCGAACATGTTCTTCTCTGCACTACTCTTCTCCCAATGGTCTGTGAACTCCTGAAGTACTTGATAGCGAGTTTCTTCCTTTTCAAGCTGCTTAACATGTTCTTCGCCTCGCTTCCAGGCGTTGGTGAGATTATTCATCCAGTGACTCAGACCGACTTGAGCTTCCAGGAGCCGCTTAGCGAATTTCGTTGCTGTTCTCTTGTCGCCGTAGTTCCCAGCTTGGTGTTCGTAGTTGAGAATTTCGGCCACAGTCGCTTCTGTTTCCACGATCTTCTCCTTCAGGACATTTGCTGCCCTCGTGATCTGTCCTTTGATATATCCAGGCGCAGACATCGCAGTTGCTGTGTGACAGGTAAGCCACGTGAAGTCCCAAATTCGAGATGTTACCTGAAATAAGTGTGTGATCTATTACGTTCTGTTGTGGTCTTTGTTAGGCGATCTCGACGCGACGGTTATAATATGTGAAATAAATGGAGGTAGAGTATCACGAGGTTCCCGAGTGGAACTTCGGGATACTGTAATACTACGATACGTAACAATAAGGCATGAATGAAAGAAACGCGAAAAAGGAGTGGAAGGTACGACATTATAAATGAATTAAATACTACAAATTGCAATAAGGTGAGTCCTATTATACTACTACATTATTTTTATTTCGTTATATTTGCATTTTGATTGATTTAGTTCACTTGATATTACTGATTGTTTGTACTACCGTCCCTTTTTTGTTTTAACCCGAATTAGGCTTAACCCTAGATGACGTTTTTGACCTTAGAATGGATTACGAGGGAATGTTGAGGGTACAGGTGGACTAGCCAAAAGAGAGAACCCACTGAGTTGGTAGACCCATCCGTTTACACCTCACCCTAGCTACCTAATTGGGTGGCCAACCCACATGGTAGAGGGGTTTTAAGGAGCTCCTTCCTCAGTGCGCCCAACATGGTTGGGACTAACAGGTTTGTGGACATGTCTCTGCAAATCTACCGGCCATTGCTGTGGCGCTACTACAGCTTTGGCTGGAGGCCCGGCTTAATCGCCTCCACTCTCCGTGCGGGTTCGTCCGTTCCCTTTCGGCTCGTCCTCCTGAATCCTTCGGTGTTGCAGCCGGCTCTCCTTAACCATTCCAGACTATTACCTAGTTGCCACCCCTAGGTAATTACTGTTGTCGAAGAGTCCTGGCGCATTCCATTCCTTCGAATCTTGAATTGTGGCCATCTCACGCGATCCTCGGGTGTTGTCCTTGAATTATCCGCAAGTCGTATCCTGTCCTGGAAGGCAGTGGTAGGGCTTCTTTTTACCGGTTATCGTTGGTGATAACCGAACGGATCCGCTTCGCCATCGCCGATGCACCATGTTGCGAATCGGTGGGACCAGAAGACCTGACCTGCGGAACGAGGGGGATGAACCCGGGCTACCATGCGACTATGAAAGTACAAACAACCAATACCCAGTAGCCCCGCGCCGACTACCAAGCCAAGGTGAACTAGACCAACTAGGAATTGTTCCCAAATAACTACGACACAAGTAATTAGCAAATATATTCGTGGGACTGAGCCCTATTGCTACACTACCCGAACACAAGTGATAGTAAGTTTTATGTCGTAACCTACTTCTTAAATGTGAATTAATGAGGAACAAAATAAGTGTTAGTAATGCGAGATAAAACTGACTCACGTCGGGTCGCCTTCCTCGACCCGCCGGTTGACCACAGAAAGAGATTTGGATTAGGAATAACATCAGACACTTGAATTCTAAGGGCTAACGCCCTGCGGGTCTGCCGAACGTAGACGATCAGGGGAAGTACCGTGAGCCGAACTTGGAACACCGGGCCGGGCCGTGATGGTGCTGTTGCGAACAGCCCGTGCGTTGCCGCACGATCACGGAAGATCAGGCTGGGTCATGTCGGCAGTACTCCGCAGGCACCGGCGCGCCCAGGGTTCCTTTGGAGCGATCGACGTGTTACGCGACATCAACCCCCGTGGCCTACACTGAGGTCCGTAATTAGGTCAAAGAGGTGCCACAGCACCAGCCCTTGTGTAGCGGTCTCGGCGTGGTTATCTTCAGGGCTAATTAATTCATACGCTCATGGCGTATTATTACGAATGCTTTTTCTCGTCACACTTAATCAGCATTTTTCAAAATTTTACTTAAACAAAGCATGTCTTGTTATGAGCAAATGGTGTCGAATATTCTTGAACAGCCAACAAGCCTCCTACTGGATCAGCTGAGTGCCTCATGTTCTGTGGTGCCTATTAACCTATATGTTCGTGTAATTATTTATACATCGCCTACAACAATATTGTTGTGCGCACGTATTGTGCAATAAATAAATAAATAAATAAATAAATAAAGAATCAATAAATTTAAATAACTGAAATATCATTTTCATTGGAAATCCTCTGGCCTGGCATCGACTCATCCTTGATATTTGTCTTCCGACGGTGATGATCCCACTGCATCAAAATGGCTCGATCTCTTCCACCCAGCGGGCCAATACGACCCCCCCCCTGCGACGTGTCGAGGATTCCTCAACGCACGCTTGACCCTGAAGTGAGTTATGGTCGCTTAAAGCCCAAAAACTCGCGATTTCAAAAAAAGTGTTCGGCAAAACCCCCCAAAATGTTCGAACGTGTGATTTTCTCGAAAAATAAACTTTGAAAAACGGTTTGGGGCTTGTTAGAAAGAGCAAATCCTGTACTTTCCCCATGAAAAAAGTGCATCACAGAAATGAAAATGAAGTGAGTTATGGTCGCTGAAAGCCCAAAAACTCGCTTTTGCACGAAAAATGTTCGAACGGGACAATTTTTTGAAAAAGGGGACAATCACTAAACTTTTTTATACTATTTTGTTAGAGAAATATTTGAAGTTTCTGAAACTTTTTACAGATTTCCAAAATGTCGCATACGAAAGATTTTATGGGCCTTCAAAGTTGAAGGTGCGCCTTCTTAGAATTTTGGGTTTTCCACTTCTAACAGAAGTACTTTCCGGAGAGTTAGGCAATCCTTGTAGTTTTCTGGAAGCGCACCTCAGGCACAATCAAAATCTACCTCAACAAGTCAAAAAATACGTCCCAAGAAAGTTATTCCCCTCTAAAATTTTTTCTTCGCCGCGTCCCGTTCTTCCAGCGCCCGGGTGATACCTGCCGCGCTCCAAGGACGCGACGACGCGCAGACGCTTTCTGGCGCAACGGATTCATGTCTAGCACTCTTATTAACAAAAACAGGGGGTCGCAACTGGACCCCCTCGAGAGCTAGGGGGTCGCAAAAATCCCGAAAATGTTCGAACGTGACGGTTGACCCTGGTCACAACGCGTCCCTAGTACAGTAATCACAGGGCCGTAGTTTGCTATTTTATGGGAATGTGTCGTGATTAGGGTTTGACAGAAGCTGGGAATCTTGTATTTTTTCGGGACTTAGTGATTACACTATTAAAAGGTTTGTACATACGCTGTAGTGACGGTTAAAAATGTGAGAGAGAATTTTTACCTTTTCACTCTTCTCCACTGTGTAGTATACCGGTTCTTTTTCTCGAGTGTAGATGTCCTGAAATCATCTACCAATATATTTTCTTGATTGACCCGACCTTCAAAATGATTCTAGTACTCGTATGAATTTGGTGCTTTCTCCATAATATTTTTCGGATTCAATCAATCAAGATGCATTCGTGTCGGGATAGCTGGTTATAGGTCAATGTCGGCACAAGAAGGCGTCCATGACACCTGCGATACATGGTGCTCAATCATTCACACCTCCATCTCATTCTATAACAGCCGCGTCAAGTCTCCTTTTGTAACAAGCTGAGCGAAAGATTGAAAAAAAAAAAAAACCCCAATAAAAAAAAAACACCTTGAATTGAATTGCCAGTGCATGACATCGACGTCCCAAAATGACAAAATATTCTTGTGGCGTACCACTAACCACCGTAAGAATCGCATGCATCAGCCTCACATTAATGCACACTGCTTCTTAAAGATGAACAATTGTCAAATTATGGCCCCTACAGCAAATGGTCTGTAGGCTCGCAAATTCGTGCTTGTGGCCGTCGCCATGACAACTGATGCTCTTTCTTGGGTGCACAATCTTTAACTGCGCGGCCAACAAATGTGTCTGTAAGATGCAATTTTATTAACGTACTGTAAGCAAAGGTCAGAAGCTGTGGATACACGGCGGACTTTGACGCGCAAAGAATTGCTGAACTCTGCACCTTCCACTATACTCCGAAAAATTCGCTGCGATATTTAAAAACGAAACGTGTGGGAAGGACCTTTCATGAATTCAGGTGGATTTGATGTCGCGCGGCTTTCTGACCATTCTTATGGAATTAGGCAAGTCAAGAAGCCTATGACCTGTCGCAGCGGTAGGTTCTTGGTAGGGTAGCAGGGCCAGGCGTGCAATTCAGAGTAGATGACACCCTTTAGTTTCCCTTTTTGCTGAAGCGGTAGTTGTTCACAGAGAGCGAGTTCGGGAGGACATCGAATTTGGCAGTCCCATACCATCCCAAGGCTGGATTATCTTTCCCTGGCAGGTATTCGAAAATCTCTTCAGCTTTCCTAATATAGTATTTACCATGGCATCAATGTGATTGATTTAAAATCAGAATGGTAACCTTTTGTGATCCTATTCAAGCGGGAATGTAACTCACACTGCTTGCATCGACATATTCTTCCATTCTATACAGAGAGTAGTCGTCGTGGAGACTGTCTGGGGACTGATCGCGAAGTTGTACCGGCTCCAGAAGAATGATTTCTTTGCGTCCATCACGTCGAGGCTGCACTGTTTCGTAAACGACTTCTGTGGACCTAGGCTAAGAACGTTTACATATTTTAAAGGAATCCTTCACGGAAAAATCATGATTCTATTTCAGCCATAAATCACTGGCTTGAGACTCATTATCCACGATAAGAATGAAAAGAACAGAAAAATTGCTTTTGTTTTGGTAAAAAATTCGAAAAATCGAAAGGGCTGCTACGCGTTCAAAGTGCCCACGGACGTCTTTCACAAATGCTGGCGACGGGGATGCTTCCACTTGGTTCTTGGAGTGCCTTCACTAGAAACTCTTTCTGGCCTTCTGCTTTATTGCATTCACATCTTACACTTCTACTCCATCCTATTCCATCGATCGATTTGTCTCTACTCTCCGAAATCGCGCGCTTTAACCCGATTCTCTCATTGCGTCGCCTGATACGTAGCCGCGCCTTTGCTCCGCCCAAATTACCTTCAATTGTCCAGAGTATAACTTGGTAAGTTTGTTTCTCTCCGGAAACGAAACTTACAGCTGTGAAACTGTGTGTGCTGTTTCCAGTGGTCATAACTGACACATTAATGTCAAGAAAGAGAGCAAGAATTCTCCGCGAAGGACTGCTTTAATTTCGAATTACTCCGCGAAGTGATGCTTAAATTTCTAAGTTCAAGAATGATGTTTTGCGCTTTTGAGCACGTTGGAGGCATTGTATGTGAAGAGTACCTCCGGAGAGAGGGGGGATGGGGCAAATCTAAAAATTCGGCACAAGGAACAGTCGAGGTTGTTGAATGGTGTCGCCTGATATGGTGATTAGACGGGCCTGATAAATCCGGTCCTTGGCCGCCTCAGGATCATCTCCTCGTCTGCGCTCTCGTCACCTTTCCAGCTGCTCATGGCACATTGTCGATTATACACATTCAAATTTTACCAATGTAGTTTGGTAACTCACCTTCGAAGTCCATCTCCACAAGGCCTAGTCCTAGTATCGCTCACCTGCTCCTTTGATTTTGGAGCAAGCCAGGCGCGGTCTTAACTGTCTGTGGTCCGCCATTCGTGGCAGACCATGGAAGAAAGTTCAAGTAGTCCGTAAACCTGATATGTAGCCGGCTAAAGGCCAACTTCTTTCCATGCCTCGCCTTTGGTTTCGCCCGAATTACCTTCGATTGTCCATAGAGTGAACTTCTTGTAAGTTTGTTCCTCTTCGGAAAGCGAATCTTCATGCGTGAAACCTTGTGTGCTGTTTCTAGTGATCACAGCTGTCATTCATGTCAAGAAAAAATGCAAGAATTTTCCGCGAAGGTTCCTTTAAACAACAACCGAGTGGTTTCAAATTCAGAGCTAATTATAGACTTCTCCCCTGTTTCTACCCTTACTTTGGAGCGAAAATATTTCAAAATGTAAAAGAAAAACTTATGAACATTCTTTTTTTTTCAAAAAAAAAAGCCACCATTCTGAATAGTAACTTTAGTGGTAATTACGATTGAACTTATTTTGGGGAACAGAATTTGGTGTTTGAAGTTTGAGAAAAGGGGAGTACGCGGTCCCTCAATCCCTCAAGGGTCTAAGCTTGAGCCTAGGAAGCAGAAGGTAGAAATTCAAACAGCGTGTCCTTGTGATTTCGCAGTTACCAACTTTCGGGACCTTTGAGCCTCCTTCCCAGGCTCACGCTTAATCCCATCGCGCTTGAGAGACTGCGCCGCCGCTGCTTAGTCCCCCCAACTCACTTAGCACCCAGGACTTTTATTATTCTTTTTGTATCATGACACTAAGGTAAAGATAGGCATGGGAGGATAGCTAGGGATAAGTGCAGTAAAAGAGAAAGGACAGACTGTGGAGGATGATGGAAAATCGAGAAGGCAAAGGAATCCACTCCAAAAAATGGGTTACGAACGAAATTGGCGCGGAAAGGATGAGATTTGAAGAAAGGACAAAGCAAGCCTGCGGGATTGTTATCATCTAGTAACGATGATTATCATGTGAATAATCTACTGTCTAAAAAGTCTTGTTATTTTCTGCTTCGGCTCACTTCGGGTGGCGTTTCACGAATCGTACAATTTCTGGTGCACCATCCGTAGTTGGTCTGGAAGTCGAGAAATAAATAAACAAATAAGAAAATGAAAGGAAACAAGTTCGTTTCCGAATTCGGATCTCCTCTTATAAAGAGGACCTACCTTTGTGTCCTTTTCCTCCTGTAGACCTCCAGTGACTCCTCTTCCTGCCATGCTCCCTGGGGATTCTTCATATCTGCTGGTGAAACGCGATGAGCTAAACTAGCCTACGTTTAGTTTTGCACGAATCTTTCTAGCAATGTCATATGCGTTCAGAGTTTTGCTGGGTGACGATATCAACGGTATAAAGATCAAACAAGATAAAATATGATAAAACACATATGCAGGTACTAAGCCATCACAAGAGTGCTTGGGTTAAACGCCTTGCCTCAAGCTTACGAGCATGCATCTCTCATTCTGCAAGTGTGCTACCAATCCAACCAAACTTTAGAGAAGGATTCCACGATAAGAACGAAGGTCGAGAAGGAGAAATTCACCTAGTGGAGAGACAGGCGGACCCCCTAAGGGTGCGGACCAACACGCAATTCGCATCGAAGGATATGCCCCGGCGATCTAGCATGGCCTTCCTTTGGCGCAGTTGGCGGGGAACGCCCACCGACTATCTAATCACTCGCCGCAGGTCTATACGTGGCGAGTGATTAGATAGCAGAGAGAGCGTAGTGTTGAAGAGGGCACAGCGATGAGAGTCGCATCAATGCGCAAATCAACGGGCAAGGAAGGGGTCCCATTTCTCGGGTTTCGGGCCGTTTCACATGGTTTTTCTTCATCCCTGCTCCACTGACCACCTCTACCCTTATTTCCAATGAGCTACCTTTTTATCGTAAAATCAGCCTTTGAAGCCACGGGTCGGGATGCGGTTCTCTTTTAAGTGTAGTTCCAGTCCCTCCCAGAGGGAGTGAGAAAGAGGGGTTTCCAAGTCAAGGATTCGCGACAAGCGCTACGTTGAACATCTAAAGACCTTTTCGAACATCTGCCATAATCTGAAGACTTGTGAAAAATTGCCAATTCTCAAAAATTCCTTTCTCAAAAAATGAGCCTATTTTTCCAAACACGGCCCTTCCATAATCCCAATGTACTGCCCCCTCGTCTGACTCGGCCTGATGAACTGTTAACTCTAGTTTGAAACCTCTTACCAGCACCGAGCGCTCTAGTTGAAGTACAGCCCGTGGACTTTTCTTCATGGTTCATGTAACTCACGATTGGGAAGTTTTATGGTAACAAAACGGAATGTAAATCTTTGTGGGAGACTCACGCTTGGGTGGTGGTGACTGAGTGTCCATTGTGGTCTGTTGAAACTCACGGGAGAAACGCTTTGTAACATTCAAAACCTGCACGAATGAATTGTGCAAACGATGGATGAGGAACGCAGAAGTGTTCGTCTTGAGGGAATCCGCACGAAATAGACGAGCTGGTGCTATTCGCAAGAGCGCCAGCGGCAACGACGATGAATCAGACGCGAGAAATCTCTGCCTGCCATCTGAAATTAAACAAAACTCGAATACGAAAACATCATGCCATATGAGTCGTCCGAATGTGAATGTGTGTGTGCCTGGCTTCCTGTAAATATCACATGTTGTATACATCGTGCTGTACTAAATAGAACAGGCTTGTCGTTTCTGAGTGGGAGGATGAAATGAGACGTGCACCATGTCGACTGCAATTGGGAGATTCCAGCATGGTCCCTTGGAAGAAGCCGTCGTGGGCCTCCCTATCCTTGACAGAATCCTAGGGATACCCTGGGATTCTGTCAAGGAAACACTCCTTGGCGTATTGTTAAAGCTTCCTATCTGATACAATTCAAGGGTCGACAATCACATTGTGCAGATTTCGAATTTCCACACTCTCCGCTGTTGTAGTTCTCGGGTTCTTGGCAATAGAGAGAAAAGAAACAGTCGTCTTCCACAGTGACGCTCAGCCGCATGTCAATCAACGGCCTTGCAAAAATTGAACAAGTCTGACCCTCGGAAGTATCACCGCCGAAGTAAGCAAACCAGCCCTTTTGGCGTTTCTGCTGGGGCCGTATGCTGAATGTTGGGGAGGGGATGGGGTCCCCGACGGTCGACGGACCACTTCAACTCGGTCCTTAAACCGCCACAATTTGGTGCTTACCTCAGAACTAAGCCTTAAAGAGAGGACGGGTCCGTCCTCTCTCCAAGGCTTAGTCCTGGGGTAAGCAAACCAGCCCTTTTGGCGGAGCTGCTGGACCTAGCTGCACCACTTCGTCATCACTCTCCTACCGTACCGACCGAGTTGAAGTAGTCCGTCGACCTCGGGGACCCCATCCCCTCCCCAACATTCAGCATACGGCCCCAGCAGAAACGCCAAAAGGGCTGGTTTGCTTACCTCGTCACCACCTAACGAACTGCTCGTTTGCTTTCAAAAACGCATTTTGTTCAGAGAAGCACGTTGTTTCCAAGGGTTTTCATCGCGAACAAAAATATTATCCTTGAGTTGAGATTTATATGTATACATGTTTACATTACACGCTTTCACTAAATAGGCTCACAGAATCGCAAAGGAATCACAGGAAGAAAGAATTTTGCTTTTGCCCGGAGGCCCATATACTTCTAATATAGAGGAATTTTCAAATTCCTCGCAGAAAAGTAGCTGTAGCTCATACTGCTTTCTGCATTAAAGTTGACTATACAGGG